GGCACCTCACCCCCCCACCACACACACACTTGTGCTCCCCCAGCGCAGGCACTCACCCTCATCCCCCCCACACACACTTGTGCTCCCTCAGCACAGGCACTGCCCCCTGGCACAGATTTCCAGGGGGTTCAGTGCCCTGGCTGTTACCCAGTGTGAGGGTAACTAAACCCACGGCCATGCCTGGGTCGGTGTACCCTTAGTGCGCCAGGCCCTCAGCTCAGCTTTTTCCAAGGGCGAGGCCTGTGGCTTCAGCCCTTGAGACTGGGCCCTGCTTCTCCCCGGGGCTCCCCAGCGGGTCCATGTGAGCTCAGGCCCCTGGCAGAGCAAAGGGCCCACAAGGATCTGCAGGGAGAGCACGCGCCCTCTCCCACAGTCAGCATTTGGCAGCCACTTGGGACTGCATGAGGAAGCCAAACTTCGTCACAGTGCCATTCCCTGCCCTTGTCCAGAGCCTCTGGGGTCCAGTGCCCCTGCCCGTGCCCTGGGCGGCCGCGCTCTGATCATAGCAATGTTGGGCTGGAAGGGGCCTCAAGAGGTCAAGTCTGTCCCCTCACACTGAAACAGGGCCAGGTAACCCTAGACCATCCCTGACAGCCGGGGCTTGTCCCACCTGCAGGGACGGGGATTCCACACCCTCTCTTGGAAGCTGTCATGGCTCCCCAGGATCTGTGCTGCTCCCCAGCTTGTAAACCGTCGCTCAGAGGAACCCTTGAGTGCACCAGCCCCCCAGGGATCCCACCCTTCCTCCAGTGCCGGCCACGCAGCCTCACCGCCTCCGAGACAAAGCCTCTGGGCTCCACCCTGTGAGCTCTGCCCTGTGCATCCCACTGAGCCAGACCCCTGGAGAGACCTGGCCGCTCTTCGGGGGCCAGTGCCCCCAGCCGGTGTTCACAGTGACACGTGGCAGCCTTTTCAGAACAGCGTCGGGTTATGAGTCGCCTGGGGAGGCCCTTAGGGCCACAGAGAGAAAGACAGGTGAAGACACTGTCCAGCTGGCCCGGCTATGGCCCCTCCACCCCAGCTGAGCTGCCCTGCGATCCCTTTGCTGGCTCTCTCCCCGTCTTTGCCCATCCCGGGTGAGAGCTGCTGAGTCTCCCCAAAAGCCAGCTCTTATCCCAGCCACGTGGCAACTTTCAGTCCCTTGTCTGGCTCCTGCAGAGCCCTGCTGAGCTCATGTGTGCCACCTGCCGGCTTCCCTGGATCCGTGTCAGTTGTTCGGTCCTTGGGGCTCTTGTGGAATGGGTCAGTTTCAGGCAGTCCTTTACCCCACCGCACCCCCTTCGTACCACCCCAAGGAGGGACGTGACACGACACCTCGGGTTCCCTGCTCTGCTCCAGGAGCAGCTTAACCCTTTTGTCCCCATTGGGTACTGGCCCCATGACAAGTCAGTCCGTGCTATGCAGATCAGTCATCAAAATACTGCAAAGAATTCCCACTTCGGCACGTCCGCCTACTCCAGAGCTTCACTAGCCCTAGGCTTAGAAAGGCCTGTCTAATACCTAGCCTAGATCTCCCTTGCTGCAGGTTAAACCCAGTGCTTCTTGCCCACCTTCAGTGGGTGTGGAGAACCGTCCTGGTTATAACAGCCCTTAGCATAGCTGAAGACCATTATCAGGTCCTGCTTCAATCTTCTTTTCTCAAGCCTGAGCATGCCCACAAGGAGTCTCTGTCCCCGGTCACAGCCGCTCTGGTTCTGCGTCCTCTCGCGTTGGCTGCCAGGCATTCATGGAACCACATCCAGTCGCTGGGCCTGCCCCCTACTCATCAGAAGATAGTCCTCAGCATCATCTTCAGGGTCCCATAAAGCCTCTCCACCCGCCCATTGGACTGAGGGTGCTATGCAGAAGCCTGGCGGTGTTGGTGCAAATTGATAAATTAAAAAGTGGTAATTCACCAGCACCAGAGGGTATCACCCAAGAGTTCTGAAGAAATTCAAATATGAAATTGCAGAACTCCTAACTGTGGTAGTTAACCTATCATTTAAATCAGCTTCTGTATCAGACGACTGGAAGGTAGCTAATGTAATGCTCGGCTCCAGAGGCGATCCTGGCAATTACAGGCTGATAAGCCTAACTTCAGTAACAGGCAAATTGGTTGAAACTGTAGTAAAGAACAGAATTATCAGGCTCATAGATGAACATGATGTGTTGGGGAAGAGTCAATTGGCTTTTGTAAAGGGAAATCATGCCTTACCAATCTACTAGAATTATTCGAGGGGGTCAACAAGTATGTGGACAAGGGGGATCCAGTGGATATAGTGTACTTAGATTTTCAGAAAGCCTTTCACCAGTTCCCTCACCATAGGCGCTTAAGCAAAGTAAGCTGTCCTGGGATAAGAGGAAAGATCCTCTCACGGAGCAGTAATTGGTTAAAAGATAGGAAAAACAAAGGGTAAAAATAAATGGTCAGTTTTCACAATGGGGAGAGGTAAATAGCGGGGTCCTCCAAGGATCTCTACTGGGAGCAGTGCTGTTCAACATGTTCATAAAGGATCTGGAAAAAGGGATGAGGTGGCAGTTTGCAGATGATATAAAATTACTCATTATAGTTAAGTGCAAAGCTGACTGTGAAGAGCTACAAAGGGATCTCACAAAAGTGGGTGACTAGGCAACAAAATGGCAGGTGAAAGACAATGTTGATGAGCACAAAGTGCATTGGAAAACATAATCCCAACTGTGGATACAAAATGATGGGATCTAAATTAACTGTTGCCACTCAAGAGAGAGATCTTGGAGTCATTGTGGATGGTTCTCTGAAATCATCCACTCAGTGTGCAGCGGCAGTCAAAAAAGCAAACAGAATGTTAGGAACCATTAGGAAAGGACTAGATAAGACAGAAAATATAATGCCACTATGTAAATCCATGGTACGTACACACCTTGAATACGCCGTGCAGATGGGGTTGTCCCATCTCAAAAAAGCTATATTGGAATTGGAAAAGGTTCAGAAAAGGGCAACAAAAATGATTGGGGTATGGAACAGCTTCCATACGAGGAGAGATTAAAAAGATAGGGACTGTTTTGACTAAGGGAGGCTGTGATAGTGTTCTATAAAATCATCAGTAGTGTGGAGAAAGTGAAGAGGGAAGTGTTATTTACCCCTTCACATAACGTAACGTAACCAGGGGTCACCCAATGAAATTAATAAGCAGCAGGTTTAAAACAAACCTAAGGAAGTGCTTCACACAATGCACGGTCAACCCGTGGAACTCATTGCTGGGAATATTCTGAAGGCCAAAAGTATAAGTGGGTTCAAAAAAGAATGAGATAAGATCGTGAGGAGTAGGTCCATCCCAGGCTATTAGCCAAGGTAGTCACAGACGCAACTAAACTTCTGACCACCAGAATCTGGCACTGGATGACGGGATGGATCACTCAGTCATTGCCCAGTTCTGTTCGTTCCCTCTGAAGCATCTGACACCAGTCATTGTTGGAAGACGGGATACTGGGCTAGATGGACCATTGGTCTGACCCAGTGTGGTCGTTCTTATGACCCACAAGCACCAGAGAAAGGTTGACATGAAGTTAGCCCACTGGCTGGTAACTGCCTTGCTGGGGTAGCCCACTGCTCAGGGTAGCGAGTGGTGACATACGCCACCACCAGAATGTATTTCTTCCCTGAGCAGAGGAGTGTGTGTGGGGGGGGGGAGAAGAGCTGTGCTGTG